GTTGGATGTTTGAAATTCTTATCATGGGTGAATGGTAGTGAAATTCAAGAAAATCAAAGCAGAGCTATTTTGGTGTTTTCGTATCATGACTGTAAAATTGAAAATTGTAATTTTGAAGACAAACACACGTTTACTGTCAAAACTTTCCTGCCTTTTGGAATTCGTTATAATTAGGAGCATTCATGGTGCACTTTCTGTTATATACGACTCTTGAAAAGAAAATGTTAGCTATTATAGTACTTGAGCCTTATATGAACGAATAAACGAGACTAGATACACGAAGAAGAAGAGACTAATTTCAAAAAAGTCAGCACTCTTGAAGCACGTCAAAGAGCAACATAGAACTCTTGAAGCACGTCAAAGAGCAACATATGCCATTGTCGCGGACCGCTTACGCCTAAATTAGAATTCTCGAGTAACGACAACAAACAGGAAGGAAAAGCAAGATTTACTCATCTGATACCAGAGCAAGACGCTCTTTTTTGGAAGTAGCAATTAAATGGATTCTTACATTTGAGTATACACATATCCAGGCTTTTTTTCGATCATCCTGCCTCAAAAAGATTATAAAATAAACGACTAGATCCTGACAAACGCATCAGTGTTAACATGAAAAATTCCCAGAAAACTGAGTAGTTTTTTTCTAATTACAACTCCATTCAAACTGAAAGAAGTTAGGGCTGCGACTCCAATTCATTATCTAGCTATGAGTGCATGGTTATTGCTTCAATCAAAGTTTCTTCGGATACGCCCACATAATCTACCATATGTAAGGGCTACTGCATGACGAAGGCGCAATAGCAGTATCAGTTGAGCGGGCACAAACGCGGCCGCGCGTATCCTCACCGTTATAAATCCTGCGCCTCCTGCGCTCTGCGGCTAATAAAGCCGCTTCGCGCCCAAAGATATTGCGCCTTCGTCATGCAGCAGCCTATATGATTTTGGGGCAGATAAAAGCTAGTAACGCCTTATCTAGCACCCACGTCCCTTTTCAGTATGGCATCATAATTAACACTGTTTTTGAACAGAGCGCTGGAATAATACTCTAATCATCGCTTTACAGCCACTCTTCACCTCTCCGTTTGCCTTCACTATCATTGTAACCAATTCATCAGTAGAGTAGTAGGTCATCAAATGGGGGCTTTGGGTTAGCTTAGGCCTCCCCCTCGCTCTTGCTGAATCGTTGTCATCTGTTATTGTCACTTCTATGGTTCAGGTAGATTGATATAGCAGCTTTCCAATTTACGACGAATTATTTTTAGCACAATTTCAATGTCATCCATCTATTAGGTTGTAACATAAGTCTTAACTCCAATTTCTTACGACGAGAAGTCATACACTTCACATTTTCAATAGGGCTTCACAGCAACATCTGATAAGCAAAGCAGCTCTACAAGAAGGTGTGCAAAATTTTGCATCAAAGTCGACCCACTGTAAGTTTGCATCCAAAATCTAAGTCGTACTGAAGGCTCAAAAAAAACGCTAAAAATTTATATCTTCGTTCAAAAAACCTCCGAATCTCCGGCTTGCTCAAAAAATTGCACACTACATCAGACACTCACATATACCTACCATTTCTGTTATTCTTCATCTAGAAAATGAGAAATCGACGATTTTCATGTTTATAAATACAAAAACGAAGCTATTTCCCATTTATGTATGGTCGTTCTATGAGTTCGTATCGTTTTTATAAACAACAAAATCATCAATTTACAGTAAAAATCAATCAGAATTATATTCCTCGTTGTAGCGCACGATCTTTTGACACATTCTTGTTAGGTTCTCAACCGCAATTTTACAAACGGCAGCGCGGGTCCCAAGAAAGTCATCCAACCAGCGCTCAAGCTGCTTACTAAAATCGAGACATGCACCATTCATGAAGTTTGCCAAAGAGCGAAGCAAATATCTGATAGAGCGAGGTTTGGAGAGTACTTTGGGCACTGAAGTACTTTCCAGTCAAACCGTGGAGGACAGTTTTGACGACGTTTGCCGTATGAGGTCATGTTCCATGCAGAAAAATTCACTGGATCTGTCTGTTATTCTTGTTTTGCGATAGCCCTTGGTTTATATGGTGCATTGGATTGCTTACGGTATGATTGACCATCACCTAGCTGTACAGCAATTTTCAGTGCAGAACGTCCGGTCCCCCAAAAAGTCTTGTTCAGAGACACCCTGCTCAGCCCCTGATCTTTTGTAGCAATCCAATCCTTTCTTGTCTCATACTGATGTGCGAGCGCCATGTTCCATAATCGGCACAAAAATCTGTGCAAAAGCGCTTCTTTTCTTGAGAAAAATTGCGCAAATGCCGAAATTGCTTTTGCCTTTCAGGCTTTCCGTGTTTGGAAGCTGCGAGATCCGAGTGAATCAGATTTCCACCGAAATCAGTAGACGTATTTCAAAAAGCACAATCAACCCTTCCAAATTATATACTCATCTTGCCGCAAATCAATCGCTTCTCAAAGATATGAGGACGAAAACGAAAACGCTACAAACTTATGAAACGACCTAGTAATTGTACACTACAAGCCCTTGGGAGTGTAACCATAGAATTTCAGTTTTTCACAGGCCCTCGTTTCCAAAAATCGTTATATTTAGCTCTTTTCTTTGGGCGTTCCATGCTAAAATCAATACTTATAAATAGGACTTGTGGAAAGCTGATTACGAATATATTTTTAAGAGATTGTAATTGCAATTATATGAGAGGAAACAGGAAACAGCATAGCTTTGTTTTCATATAAAAATGAAAACTTTCGTTTTCTCATTTTCTAGATGAGGAAAAAATACTAGAATCTTATATATAAAGCTGAATGTCTGTTTGTCTGTCTAGCTATCTGTGTGTCTATCTGTATGTACGTATGTTCCGAATAGAAAGTTTTATTTCTGAGCCGATCTGGACGAAACGTTGCACACATACATCTCGGGGCCGAGCGGGTGTCGTAGGCTACTTTTCGTCATCGATCGATATCGACTTTACCGATCTTTATCGATTTTTATAAAGTTTGATCCGCGGAGCTGGGAGATGGCACGGGGGGGGGACAAGGGAAGTTGTTACGGGACACGTAAGAGAGGTTCATCATTGTTGTGAATTGTTCGCACAGTTAATACAGTTCTCGAGCAACGACAACAATCAAGATCAAAAGCAAAAAATTTCTATCAGAGGACACAGCAAGAAGCACGTCGCGAAAGTACCCATAGAAGCTGTGGTACACGCTACAAAGTTTAGAAGAGCGTACTTTTTTTGGAAAAGCCGAGCGCGAAAGCAATACTCAAAACTAGGAGTGTCACTCATATTTTCGCCGACTACAGGATATTTTCCGTTTGACAGCGATTGCAACCAGTTTGAGGGCTAGCATTATGGTTCCCTGAATTAAGCTAATTGGGACGCGTATTGTAGTCGAACTCCAGTCTCATGTCATTTCTGCTTGCTCATGCAGAAACACACTATTTCATGCTTACGCTAATGGTGGCACGAGTAACGTAAGCCAATCTCTTATTGGAGATTCGAGTCTCTGGCAAAAACTCCTGTCTCGATAGTCTCAACTGCATCTGGCGGCAGTAAGAATATTGCGTTTAATCCTTATCAGAATTTTGCACTAGCGTAAAGAACAACGCCCCCTTCATGGAGGGGTTCTGCAAGACCCGGTGGTCTTGTGAAACCGGTGGTCTTGTCTTGTCTTGTGGTGGTCTTTCATAGAAAATTTGCGTACTTTTGTGTAGTTAAAATCACTAAATTTGTTCTAAGTTACCATTTGAAGCTGTTGAAGAGAATCTTAAAAGGGATACTGTTGTTTCATACCTATCTAAGTCATATTCAGCATTTGAAAAGACAAGAAAATTTTTATTGATGAATTTGACCCTCCGCAGTAACACAGTTTATTCATGGAAAAATAATCATAACTCCATCCAGTTATCGTTTCGCAGAAATGGAAGACAGTATTCGAACCAGCATCAAGAGGCGCATTTTAACCTACAGATCATTATGAATGGCCGCGGTGACTAAGTATCCTTCCCTTGTAAGAGCATACCTATTGTTATTTGCCAAGGCGGGTTATGCAATCTACAAAAACATTGCATAATCGAAACGACATAACTTCAAATTTTTTAATGAGGTTGCCAAACCTCGGCAATTGAACCATGCCAACCATCAAACAGACGACATACGTTTATTGCCGATTACCTCAGACTTCGGTAATTAAACCCTCATTCTGCTTGAGATGTACACACATAAATAACGAAGCAAATCAACATGAGAAAGTGAGACATCGCCAACAAATATTAAAAACTATGATGACGATAAGTGAAACCAAAATGATATTTTGGATATCTGGTGGAATTTGGACTACTTTTAAGAAATGTACAAGAGGAGATTAGAAAACATACGATAGCAGTGTTCAATGTGCTATTCTACTTACAAGGAATGAGCGGATAGAAAGGCAACACAAACAATAAGTGTAAGCGATGGAAAATGCATGAGTAAGAATGAAGTATTATTTATTAGTATTTAGACGTTCCTTTGCTGGCACCAAAATTCCTTCTGCAGCTAAAATCGCTTGTCTGTGGTCCGAAATCTTTTTGTCGAAGGTTAAGTCGCATCTGGCATCGTCGATTCTTAGCATTCCGCAATTAGCTTTTTTATTTAGCAAACATTGTGATCCGTGAACGTCTCAGCTGGTATTGAGGGATCATCGCATGCAACTCTCATGCATTATATTGCCCAATTGTATCGCGCTCCGCGACAATTTGGACAATAGAGGACATTATGCAGTTGGCAGAACTTTGTTATTTTACTTCAATATTGACCCACATCTTAGTAAACAGGCAAATCCAAAGATCGCTGAAATTTTCAGTGATTTGTTTGTTCATTTGAAAGTAAAATTTGAAGAAATTCATGCTAAAACAAAAACCAACGATGTCTCTGCTAAATGGTTTATATCTGCACTTGTGACAGATTTTATCAATGTATAGCAACCAAAATTTACACTGAAAATTCTTTATTACAGCCTATCCTCTGTCAGCGATATTTCTGAGCCAGGGAATTACTGTAGTGCCGAAACGCACAAGAAAATATTTTATCCAAAAACGAGAGCATGCACGGAAGCACGAGTTCCGTGCCCAGATCCGGAAAATATCGAAGGTACGTCAGTTAGTATTACATGGTAATAAGTGTAGGGGTTAACTTTTGTCATTGTTAATAGTCGAATCCAGGTTGGTAGCAGGGTATGATGATATAGCTACATTAAAACGTACCGGTTATGCGAAATCTAATTAACACTCTGCAGGAATTGTATTAATTTATAGGCATCGCTGTAAGATACTGTTCTTGCAAAACCACAATTTGGGAGACGCCAAACACAACCAATTGCACACATAAATGGGTATCTGAATTGGAGTCGGCAATTGAAAAGGGAGATCCAGCAGAGCAAATCAGCAAAAAAATGGCATCTGATTTAGAGTGAGCCTTCTATGCCGCTTTGCTTGAGGAAAACCGCGTCAAATTTTTAGATATACATTGTCACGTCAATTGTATGGGGGAGATATTACTAAAAGTTTGCAGTTGTCTGATGATCTGCTTGATTTGGCACGAAGTCAGTTTGACGCTGTGGAGGATGAATATGATCGAGAAGCTAGAGCGACAAACTTTACTGAGGCAAACCCCCTTCCTTTTACCATATGATGTTGGAACGAAATCGTAATCTTTTTAGTCGTTCGGTTTATATGGTAATTATCTGCTATCGCAACAAGCGCTTGAGGTACGGGAGGAGCTAACACCTTCGCTTTGTGAGGATTACGCTGCGGTGTTGACGTCTTCGTTGAAGCAAAGCGTTTTATCGTTGGGAAATTATATTCTGATTCCGGAGAAGAAGCTGCAGTATGATAACTGGGGTGAGTATGAAGGTTGGTCGTCAATGTCCTCCACAAGCTCATCGTTCAGCATGATAGGGATTTAGGTACTTGTGAACATCGGGGCCAGGTGCAAATGACAAGAAAGCAGGCTAGTTCGATTTTGGGGCAAAAAGCAAAGATGTTATCGTAAAACATGCTGTACTACCGCAGCGAATTTCTCACGTCGACACGCTCACCTGCTTCGAGGACAAGTTGATATACGATTGACGCATTAACGTGTCCTCTCACAAAATTCAATTGCGTTGCTCAAAAGAACAAATGGCTTAACTATAGCACAAATATAAAAATGAAACAGCTTATACAACAGATTATCTTACAAGGGAAGCGTGTTTAGTCGAAGTGGCCTTTTTAGATAAGACCCATACTGCTTTGAAGAGCATTGAGCGGTGATCCCAAAACGCCTTCCAAATCTGCCAAAGCCTCTGGACGCCGAGTTATTGGCGTTCTTCAGCTAAGACAATTGAACGCAAGACTGGGACAAAATCGCCCAAATTTGCTCCAATGGTCAGTATCAAGTATCAAAATTTATGCAATGGATACATTTTGTCCAATATGCTAATACTCAGTATTGCTTTATCTGAGCGTTGGAAAAATTGTAACAATCTATTTCACCTAAATTTTGCATTCATTTTTTGTTGCAAAAAATGGTCATAACTCGGCGTCCAGAGGCGCTTGGTAGATTTGGAAGGCAGACTTGAAATCACCATACAATACTCTTCAGAGCAGTATGGGTCTCATCTGAAAAGGCCATTTCGACTAAACACGCTTCCCTTGTTAGAAAATGCTTCTTAGGTCATCATGTTTCTTGCTCATGTCTTTCGCCACTGTTAAGGTACCGTTCTGCAGGGCTGGCGGCGTCAGCTTAAATTTACGCTACGGAGCAGATTGATGATTTTCCTTCAAGAGAGTTTCAAGTCATTAGGAGCCATATTTTATCTCTTCAGAAAACTACCACAGTGATAAAAAGCGATAAGTAGTCTGCTCCTTCCGGTAATTCCAAGCTGAAGTGAACTAAAAGGATGGTATTGCGAGAGCGGCGATGAGCAAGGAATTAATAAAGAAGTTACTAACGATCAACATTTTTGGTACAATTTCTATTGTGAATATTAAATCTGATGTTATCATACAGAAAATGTGGAAACTCAAGTAACGCAATACCTTTCTTCTTGAATTAATCGTTTTCCGATACGTCACCATAAAGGCTGTTTTTTATAAAACATATACTTACGAAATATCCGATATCTATCTATCTCTACACTCGAATATTTAAATTTTTTACCGGCGCGGTTTCTCTTCTTGATAGACCGCTACAAAGCATTTTTTCACGTAGTAGGAGCATTAAATTAAGCTTCATCACATATTGCTTTAGCAGCGGTAGTTGCCTCCTCACTTCGTGCGCATTGGCAATTTTCTGTCTTTCATTTGTTAAAAGTTGTCTATCTTTCATTTATTCAAGTTTTGCACGACGCTCTTCTTAAACTGCTCTTTAGCCCTCTAAACCTAACTTTTTTACCAATATGAGAGCGAATTGCTTACCTATAGTTCATGATTAGGAAATCCGAATCCGAATAACCACCGAAATTTGGAACTTTCTTTGACGACAAGACGTTTCCGAATTTCTGTTTTTTCCCAGAATGGTAAGATCGCGAATTCGTAGTAGCTGTTTTTTCATTAGCAACTGAAATTTTCTTAGGACCGTTATTGATTTCTTGTTACTCACTTGCACGACAAAATGGGGGCTGGAGACCACTACTAAAGATGAAAGTCGTCTGAAGCTAGCTGTAGCACTAATCAACGGAAACTTGTTACTGTACCAGTATTACTGCTTTCTGAATCAATGGTGGCAATTGCCATCACCAGATCCTAAAGGGTTGAACTACTACGATTTTATGCCTCTCATTTGAAGTTTTCCAGTATATAGCCAAACAGTAATCTCATTATTGACAGAGGGACAAGAATGGGATGAAATCTACAAAAAGTGTCTAGTAAATTTTAAAAAGTAAAACGAGATTTTGTTTTTGAAAAGGCAAGAAGATGACTTGTGCCGTGCCTTGCGACTTAGTAAGAACTGCAGCACTACCTGGCATTTCTTATATAAACCTTCGTTAGCTCCGTGCAGGAAACGGACGATCTTAGGGCAAGTAGAGAGAAGCATAAAGGATCCTGTTTCTGTCAGTTATAATCAAAGAGGAGAGGAGATTTGCGACAAAATTTCTGCTCAACCATTTTCAGCCATGAAGATTGATATTCTTCAATGGAAGGACACGTCACGAAAGTACTCTCCTGATGATCAGCTCAAACTTCTTACTGGAAATAGGTAATCTAGATTGCGATTCATAGAACCTAATTTGACTTGTGATTAAGCACAACATCTACACCTTCTCGTGCTCCTACAGTGCAGTTTAGCGGATTTTCTAAGTCACCAATCATCGAATTACCACCATTGATCATTTTGAGTAAGAAGTGCTCATTCAATTATTTATAAAAAATCGTCGTCCTCAGATAACACAGCGTCGTCCACAAACGAATCATCAGCACCCAGTTCTGCAGTTTTCCATCTAGGATCGGTAAATAGTTTGTAGTTTTCTAAATCGAAATCATACAGAAAAAGTTAGAATGCGTTTCACTGTGAGAGTGTGATTCATTATTATCGTAGGTCTGTTGCATCTTCCTCTAATTTGAAAGCAACGGTGCAGATATGTGCATTATTCGATGCCCCAAATGAGTGGAAGTGAACCAAATTCACTTTAGATATTTGAAAACTGATTCTTCCAAAGCAAGTGTCGTCTAATTTTTGGCGATAGAAGCATATCATTTTTCAGCAGCCTGACACAGCATCTTCGTATACTCCCCTACGTCTAAGCTACCTCGTTTTCGCAAACCTCGGCCAATTAATTTATGAGGATGACGTCACTGTGGTGAACAGTCACATTGCTTGCGTTTACGTTGGTGATGGCACCAAGAGTATAGAGTAAAGTCAATCAACATGCGAAAGGGCTATCCCGTTTGTGCCATTTCAGCCTTCTGGATGATCAGCCAGCCACCTTGACTTTTTTTCACTTGAAGAAAGATCTTGAACATCCGAGCTGTGTATCCGTGGACTTTGATACGAGGTAGTTAGGAGATTTCACTTGTTCAGTTTGAGTTGTTGTCTAGGATGTTGAGCAACGAAACCTGCCGGCTTATTTCAACAAGCTGGAGGATGACTGAATGTGCTTGCACTCACTTAGGAAGGTGAGTAATATCATACTGACTAGTTGACTTACCCGGCTCCGCCCGGCCCTGTCATTATTATATTCGTCAGCATGCTCGATTGCCCCTGTGCCCCTGTGCACCCTGTGCCAACTCCCAGTCTCGTAGCAAATTTTGCAAAAAATCGATAAAATCGATATCGATCGATAACGAAAAGTAGCCTATGACACCCGCCGGGGCCCGAAGTCTATGTGTGCCAAGTTTGGTCCGGATTGGTTCAGAAATGGAATTTTCTATTCGGAACATACGTACACACATACATACATGCAGACAGACAGACATACAAACAGACATTCAGCTTTATATATGAGACTTAGACCGTTTTTATGGGTCAACATAAAATTGGCTTCCTCGGCATTAAGTCTATCTATTTCTTCCAAAGTCTTGCATCAAAAATTTTAACAATTGAAACGTTACTCCCAATCTGAAAGATTTATTTGATTTGACATGTTTTGGGCAGAAGAAAGCTAGTTGGTGTGCTTTGAGCAAAAGCTATGACATAGCGAAGCGATGCAATTGAAAGGCATTATCGAGCTTTTAGCCTTTTGTCGAGCTTAGCTTTTAGCTTGCTCGCTTTTCTGAGCTTGGTAGAATGCAGAAAACGGCGGAGCAGGCTTTTCTCATAGCTCTACGAATCTGTACGAGTGACAGTTCTTACCAAGACAAAGACGCAGACTCTCATTGCGAGAGCCCACGCCTTTGAAGGCAGTGTCCGGGCAAAAATTCAATTTGAGACCTGTACTTACCCGGGCCTATTTGTTATGCTGAATCCAAAAATCCACACTGGAGAGCGCGAAAACGGCGAAAAAGGGATTTAAAGGCAGTGTCCGGGCAAAAACTCGATTTTGAGATTTTGTGCTTATATGGGTCTATTCGCCATGCTGAATCCGAAAATCCACATTGGAAAGCGCGAAAACGGCGAAAAAGAGCTCTAACATAGGAGGGAAATCAGCAAGTGGGCGGGGCTTTCCCCAGTGCAATTTCACACTCCCAGCTCCCGGAGCGATTTTCTCGATTCCGCTGACCCTCCTAACATCGCTACCGGTCAAGTGCGAAATTGACTTAACATAAGCGAGAAGGTCGCTCAGGAAGCCGGGAACGTGAATTCGCAGTGGGGAGGACCCCGCCCACCTGCTCATTTCCCTCCTGTGTTAGACCCGCTTTTCGCCATTTTCGCGCTCTACAATGTGCATTTTCGGAATCAGCGTAGCGAATAGGTCCAAGTAAGCACAAAATCTCAAAATCGAGTTTTTGCCCGGACACTGCCTTTAACGCAGGAGGAAAAGCAGCAGGTGGGCGTCCTCCTACTGTGGATTCAGCTCCCAGCTTCCGGAGCGATCTTCGCGGTTCCGATTTCAAGTCGCGCAATCACACTTGACCGGTGGCGATATCAGGGCGACTAGCGGAATCGAGAAGATCGCTCCGTAAGCTGGGAGCGAAAATTCATAGTTGGGAAGACCCCGCCCACCTGCTGATTTCCCTCTGGCGTCGCAACCAGGGCTCGGCACAAGCCGGCACCAGGGAAATTCTGAAACGAAGTCCCCTTTGATCTCAGAAGTTTCGTACGAAGTTCCTTTTGACGCGTTTTGCGTTTGCATAGGGCGCGCTTTGTGATTGGAGCAGATTTTTCGACTGCCGTGGTGCGGAGCACGATATGAGTTTAAATAGCGATAACAAGGTAGAAAATAGGCTCAAAGTTTGCTTATTATTTGAGGATCACTGAGAATCACTTCAGAATATAGGTGGCAGAAGAACGAAGAAAGCTGCTTTTAGTACGGTTTGAAAGTTAGTCTGTCGTTGCTCTACGTGACTTGGGGATAAGTTAGAAGATGCATGTTATCTTGCAAGATAACAGTTCGCGATATTCAAGATAACAGTCGCAGTTTCCATGGAAACTGTGACAAGCGGCGCGGCCGCAGTTAGGTGGCAATCGCCGCGTCGCGCGACAAAGTTGGGCGGAAAAGCGGCACTTGCCGCCTAACTTTGTCGCGCGACGCCCAACTTTTTTAGAAGACCTCATCTTGATTCAAAATTTATGAATTCTATATTTAAGAGTACCATTCAACTCAGCTCGGCGAGGCGCACCTTTCAGTATACAGATGTGCCTAGTTGTCGGATATAAGTTTTTTTCTTGAAATTTTAGTGTAAATGGTTCATTCAGTGTGCTGATTCCAGAGGCTACATACACATTCTGTTGAGCACTGCAGGAATAGGGCGGGTATAGTTTAAGAGCTCAGTCTGCATGGATATGTGTGAAACTGGGCTTATCTCGGCGAAGTATGACGGGTCCCAAATTGCAGGAAGACAAAGGGAAATGGTTGGAAATGGCATGAGAAGCACATATCGCGGAATGCCGCGCGTGCTGTGCAATGTACAATACCACCCACAGAACGGGAATTTCGCGAAATTGCGAATACACGTCCTCATGAACTTTGCCCAAAATGTAAAGATCGCGTATTTCGTCGAAATTCCACCGTGAGTGCTTATGCAGCACGTTAATCAAATTCTTTCACATCCTTGATGGATCTCATTGTGTTAGATTTCGTAGTTTGAGTTCTAGCCACCGAAATAGCTTTGATATTTATCTGAGCAGCTGAAGCATACGCAAGTACCATATTCAATACAGTGGGAGACTTTGGGCGAAGCGAACACAATATCCGCAATGCGAGTGTCATACAAGCACTTACGGTGGGATTTCGACGAAATATGCGATCTTTACATTTTGAGCAAAGTTCATGAGGATGTGTTTTCGTAGGCTCGTAACTCGGCGATTTCTTTAGAGTGGAGTCTGAGGCATGCACCATTCGATGGCACAGTCCCTACTAACTTTGACTTGTACAAGCAAGCAAGCAAGTTTTTTGACAGATACGCGAGAAGTACGGGCAAAGTTACGCACTTTCATGATTCAGTTACAGTCACATCACCGCTCTATAAGCGAAGTTTCCATACAATTCAAGAGCATTTTGACCAAAATCCAAGTTTCCATACAATTCAAGAGCATGAACATTTTGACCAAAATCCATCGGCCAGCTTCAGAGCGTAAAACGAAAACGAAAAAATAAAATTACTCGAACATCTTGGAAAGCTTGCTCATAGGGGTTATCCGACCTGCTGATTACGAAAATTATATCTGCTTGGCAAGAGTGTTTCATATTTTAAAGTACGATGATAAAAATTCAGAACGACATGATTTTTCCAGAATTTACCAGCCCTTCTATCTCCTTTGAAAAGAAGTGTGCGGCTAATTTCTAGCGCCTCATAATCTACAGAAGAACTATCGAAAATTTCTTTCTGAATCTACTGGGGGCAATACGCAGCTTCACACCTTTGCGAAGAGACGTCCGCAGAAAGTTTTAAGAATACTGAAATCGAGATATCAAGGACATTCTGCATACCGAAAGATTTGCCTTGATGAACTGAGTACAACGCATTTTTCGGATTCAGAAAATATCCACTCCAAAGAAAGTTACGGCGAGTAGAATCTAGAAACGACTGATTTTTCCAGAATTTACCGACGCTTTTTTCTCTTATGAAAAGAAGTTTGCGGCAGCTTTCTAGCGCTATAATGTACAAGATGAGCACTATCGAATGGTACTTATTGGAAGCTTTTATGTTGGATAGGCGCTGCGTTACATACTTGCAAAGGGACCTCAGAAAATTTGAGCACAGCAAACAAGATATAGATGACATGACGTATGTCGAAAGATTCGCCTTGACGAGCTGAACACATTGCTGCTTTCGGATTCAGATTATACTCATTCCGAAGGAAGTTATGGCGCTGCATAATTTGCGATATTCCAAAATCGCGAAATTTCTGGAATTTCGCAAAATTCCCGTTCTCTGGGTGGTATTGTACATGACATAGCACGCGCGGCATTCCGCGATATGTGCTTCTCATGCGATTTCCAACCATTTCCCTTTGTCTTCCTGCAATTTGGGACCCGTCATACTTCGCCGAGAAAAGAACACTTTCACACATATCCATGCAGACTGAGCTCTTAAACTATACCCGCCCTATTTCTGCAATGCTTAACAGAATGCGTATGTAGCCTCTGGAATCAGCACACTGAATGATCCTTTTACACTAAAATTCCAAGAAAAAGAAACTTATAGCCCACAACTAGGCACATCTGTATACTGAAAGGTGCGCCTCGCCGAGCTGAGTTGAATGGTACTCTTAAATATAGAATTCATAAATTTTGAATCAAGATGAGGTCTTCTAAAAAAGTTGGGCGTCGCGCGACAGTGTTAGACGGCAAGTGCCGCTTTCCCGCCCAACTTTGCCGCGCGACGCGGCGCTTGCCGCCTAACTGCGGCGCGCCGCGTGAGTTAGGTGCCGCCGCCAATTTTTTTTCACAAATTACGAATGGTATTGTTGTACCAAATTGCTACTTTGTACATCAACTTTTGAAATCGATTTTCTTCTCAATGGAATTTACCTGGCAGGAGGTTTGCTTGAAGGGGGAGGCCAGGTACAGTCGGTTTCATCCCGAATTAGGCGGAACATCCCACAAGGAGAGGCGCGTACGCACCGCCGGAAGTCTCGCGAGCGCATAGCGGGCATTTTGCCTGTGCAGAGACTGAGGAGAAGGAAGAGGCGCAGACCTCGGTTCTCAGCACGATATGATGTACTGTAGCTGCGAAACGGCGCGAGCTGTTGCGAGGCGGACGCCCTCCAATCCAATCTCCGCCTAATGCGAATCGAAACTTACTGTACTCACAGCAACGTCTACTTCTTTTTATCATTACTCAGACAATCGCCGGGGGCAGGCAGGCCCCGGAAAAATAAATTGCTGATCTCTCGCCCCGCTCGCGGATTTTTTGGAAAGCAATCAGGACTTTTCGGAAGACCGCTTGCTGAGTTCTCGATTCCTCAGAGATTCAGCAATATATCTGCAAAAGATAAGAGCGAAAAAAAACAGGCGGTCTCTCAAAAATCCGCTGACTCAGCGAGCGGTCTTCCGAAAAGTCCTGATTGCTTTCCAA